CCTGCTTCTGCGCCTCGAAATGCAGGGGCCGCTCCTCGAGCTCCTCGACCTTCCGCGAGGCGTTCTCGACGCGATGACGAGCGGCCAGCGCGGGCGGAGGCTTGGACTCGAGCTCCTGGACCTAGCCTCCTCGACCTTGGCGATGACTGCGGAGTCGATGCCGTGGCTCCTCTTGAGGAAGCTGACCGCCTGGGCGTAGGAGGGGCCATCGCCGCTTGCTCCAAGCGAGGGCCGAGCGCCGCCTCCAGCCCCGCCCCCGCCGCTGCCGGCTCCGCCCCCTTTCGAGAGCGCCGCCAGCTGCTGCTTGAGCTCCTTGACCTCTTTGGCCAGGCGCGCCTGGTCGCCGCCGCTGGGGCCGCTGCGCCCCTGCTGGGGGCGCGCCGACTTGGCTGCTGCAGCGCGGGCGTCTTACTGGACCCGTGCTGGCGCAGCCCCTCCGCGCCCGCGACGATTGGGCCGGCTGGCCCAATTGCCGCTCTCGCCGCACTTGCCACGCCCCCAGACGGGGAACTTGGGGCCTGGCAAGACCTCGCCATCAGCGCCCATGGACCTGGCGCGCGCACTGAATGCGTGGCTCGTGCCCACGAGCCGCTTCGAAGTGCGCGGGCACAAGCTCGAGCTGTTCGCGCAGTCAGCCCGAGCCGAAACGGCTAGGAGGAGGAGGAGGAGGATGGGGGGGGAGGAGGGGGGGGGAGGAGGAGGAGGGGGAGGAGGAGGAGGAGGAGGAGGAGGAGGAGGAGGAGGAGGAGGAGGAGGAGGGAGGAGGAGGGGAGGAGGAGGAGGAGAAGGGGGGGGGGAGGAGGAGGGGGAGAAGGAGGAGGAGGGGGAGAAGGAGGAGGAGGGGGAAGGAGGGGGAGGAGGAGGAGGAGGAGGAGGAGGAGGAGGAGGAGGCTGAGAAGGAGGAGGAGGAGGAAAAGGAAGAAAAGGACTGGGAAAAACAATCGAAGTGCGGGTAGGAAGAGCAACAGGGAGGAAGGCCAGAAGAAGGAAGCAGGGGGTGGGAACGAGGAGACACAGTCGGACAACGAGAGACAAAGTCGGAGCAACCCCCGACCCAAAGAGTCTGGGGGCGCCCCAGAGTCTGAACAGCACATCTTTCAAAGTGCCTGAATCCATGCGAAGGCGGCAGCTGCTGGCATCTCGCGTCGAAGACGAACTACATTCTGAGCTCGCTTAAGCCGTCAATCGATGCCCATACTGCGCGTTGCGTTTGGGGCCCCGTGTTGGTCTTGAGAGTGCGTGTCAGACTTGTGGTTGCTATATGTGGTGTTTGCTGTTTGTGCTGGATGGTGCGTTCAAGCTTTGGCGTGCTCGGTTCTGGCTTAGCTCGTCCAACCTGTCCTTGTCGTGCTTGGTTTCGTTCTCGCCCTCGATCGGATCGACCTCGCTGGAGTTGTCTTTGGGCCCGCGCATGATCATATCGCTCTCAGGGTTCTTGCAATTGAACTCGCACTTGGATCGCGCCGCTCTTGGGGCGCGACTCGCGTGCTGAATCTGATGGCGGTCTCGACGCTGATGATTTTCCTGTTCTAGCACCTTCCGCCGCCCTTGAAGGCAGAAGCAGCTTGATCTCTGTCTGGCCGGGGCCCGTGCCTGGAGTCGCGGAGAGAATTCGGGCCCCGTCGAACTCGCGCGCGTCGAAGCTCGGGAGACCGCTCTTGGTCTGGCCCAACTCCAGGCCCTGAGCTCCGAGCTTCATGGAAGTCCTCGGCGCTCTCGCCGACACCTTGGCCGCGGTCGCGCATGGCCCCCTTTTTCGCCGGCGCGCGTCGGCATGGCAAGCCCGGCACCGGGCATGGAGAATGGGAATCCTCAGCGCGAACTGTCGCCCTTGAGTGGCGAAGGGAACGAGGGCGGGGAGAGCGCCTGCAACTGGCTTTCAACCTCCAAATCGAAACATCTCTCGCTCGGCGATCTCGAGCAGTTCCAACCCCGACTTGGCGAGGCGCCTTTTGATGACATCGCGCCGGACCTGGCCCCCAACGGCCATGGATCAACCAGAATCAGGCAACATCCCCCCCGCCGCGCTGTTGCAGTAGCTCCTCCTTCGAGGCCATGACCGCGCCCATGGTCGCGCGGCTGTCCGCGGCGGGCTTCGGGCGGGCGAAGAAATTCTGATCGGCGATCTGCATCTCCGTGGCGCTCCAACTCATGGCCGCCGCGAGAAGACCTTCGGCTGGGCGGTCTCCTTTTTCCGCGTTGACCTTCACCGCCCACTGAAGACATCGTTGCCTTCCGCGGCGGGCCGGGGCATTCCGGGCCCCCTCTCCATTGTCCGAGCCTAGGAGAGACTGCGCAATGGGATTGCGCCTCCAGGTTCTCGACGCGCTCGTCGCCCATGCCGCCCCTGAACCCCGCCCCTCGCCGGGGTCGCCCTTGCCTGATCCCGGCAAGCGTTCGCGAAAGTAAAATCCTCGAGCTTGCCTGGCATCTCGCGGTCGACCTTTGGCCTTGGCAGGCATCCTCTGCAACTTGAAAACCTCGTCCTCCGCTTCGCCCTGCTCCTCCGGCAGCTCCACTGGCAGGCCCTCCGCGTCGGCCCCGATCGCGAACGCCCTGTCGCGAGCAGCCTCGTCGCCCGACTCTTGCTCGGCCACGCGAGCCCCCCATCGTCTCTGCGGCGGACGACTCCCAGTAGGTCTGGATGCTGAGAGCTGTTGGCGGTGGCGGCAGTCTTCTCGGGTCGTTGCCGCCCGGGGCCCTCGCGCCCTTCGAAAAGAATTGCGCATGTTTCTGCAACGGTTCGAGCCCATGCTTGCTCTGGCCGGCATCGAGAACACCGGATGCTCGGTCGGGCGCGAGGCCCAACCGCATCATGGGCCGCCGCGCCAGCGCCTGGTCGGGAAATTCGATGCTCGACGAGTTCGACTTCGAAACTTGCGCGCCAATCTCATTGATGTAACTGATCATCTCTTCGCCCCTCCAGCTTCAGGTCCTACCCTTGCGAAGACCGCCGTTAGCTCGGCGCCCAGCTTCACCATTTTCTGACCATCGAACTTCCCGGCGAGGAGGTCGAGCAGCATGTGAACGCCCTTATCGTCCAGCAACGTTGTCGGGTCGAGAACTTCTGCATTACCCCAAGCGTCTCCAATGAGCTCACCGTGCAACTCTGTGTCCGTTTCTCCACTGGCACTCGGGCGCGCATCTTGCACGCTGCGCCTCGGCGCTGGTAGCCCCTCATCGCGATCGTCTGGGGTTCGAAGCTCTGCGCTCTCACGGCGGGGCCAAAACCTGCGGCGGCCCCGGCTTTGCCATCATCTGGCGTCGCCTTCGGCGCCATCTCACCGGAGAACTGGACGAATTACTCGTAATTCAGAAACGCGTAGGCGTCCAGCTGCGTGCCCTCTCCAGCGCCGGTCTGGTTAGATACTTGGCGGTCAATCCATCTGATGGCGGGCAATCCACTTAGCCACTCGGTGCCGCGAACTCTGCAGTCTGCGGGTCGAACTGCCCCGCTGCCAACGTGAATATGCAACTCCAGACACGCTACTACGCATGGCAATGTGTGCTAGCAAACGTTTTCCGATAACGCCTATAGCTCAAGGGCCCTGGTCAGCCATCATGTCATACGGAGAAGACCAGGCTGAGACGAAGGGCAACCGTCCGCACGCAAACAACATCGCTCCCACAAAGGGGGGTCCCGGGAGCGGGGCTGGTGAGAGACGACTGCCTTCCTGAAGCAATTCAGGGCAGTGGAATTGAGCAACGTCGCAATTGAACCGACGGGGCGCCCGTTCCCTGAAGATCCCCCCTCCCTGGGGATCCAGGTGAGCAGCGTCGTAATTCAATCTGGCAATGCCGTAGTCGAGTCGAAGGGAAGCCCGTTGTTCCCTTTGATCCATCCCCCGTCGGGGGTTGGGGGGGAGTCCTGGGGGGGGCAAGTGGGGGGGTAAGGGGAAGGGGGTAGGCGGGGGGACGGGTGGGGCGAGTCAGATACGCATCCCCCTGCGGAAGTTTCGGGGGCTCCGAAAATACAAAAAAACAGAGTGCCCCAAGAGGTTCCCCCAGATGTTCCAAGACGGCCCCCAATCGCAAAACTATCGGTCCAACACGCCGACACGCCCACCAGACTGCCCAGGAGGCCGCGAAAACGTCCCAGTAAGCCTCCAAGAGCACTCCCGAGAAGGGAACCGCGAGGCAAAAATCAAGGATGTCCGCTTGCTTTTCAGGATGTGGGTGTTCTCGCCAAGACGCCCAAACTGCCCACAAGAGGATTCCAGGAAACCCGAAGAGGCCCTAAGCGGCTCCCAAGAGGCCCCCAAGAGGCTCCCAAGCAACACCAGAATTCCTCCCCAGAGGCCTCCGAGAGCCTTCCGAAAAGACCCCAATAATCATTCCCGTGGCCACGTCAGCATCGTCGTCGTCGTCGTCGTCGTCGAGGCCGCCGCCATTGTCGTCGTCGTCCCCCTTCAGGGTCGGCGGCACCGACCGTAAGGCCTTCGCAATTTGAAGAGAAATCGAAAGACACTGGTAAACACAACAGAGGGAAATAAACATCGAGACCAAGACACAGAGGGAGACAGGGAGAAACAAAAAGGGAGAGCGAGAGAGAGATGGGACACATAACGACCTTTATCCATACATAATTGCACAGGGAGGGTGAGAGAGAGAGAGAGAGAGAAAGAGAGAGAGAGCGAGAGATCAAAAAAAGAGAGATAGGGAGAGAGTGAACGAGAAAAAGAAAGAGAAAGCGGTCGAGCGAGAGAGGGAGAGAGAAAAAGCGAGCGCGGGAGCGAGACAGAGAGCGAAAGAGAAATGGAAGACAGACAGACAGACAGACAGACAGACAGACAGACAGACAGACTGACTGACAGACAGAAGACAGAAGACAGACAGACAGACAGACAGACAGACAGACAGACAGACAGACAGACAGACGGACGGACGGACGGACGGACGGACGGACGGACAGACAGACAGACAGACAGACAGACAGACACACAGACACAGAGCGCCGCTGGCGCGCAAAAGCCGCAATTGCGCGCGGCAACCCCCCACGCCTGAGGCCAGGAGTTCTGGCAGTCGGCCCACGAGTCCTGTTTCGGCTGCGGGCGGAGGGATGGGGAAGAGGAGGATCGAGGATCGAGGGGGATCGAAGATGAAAGAGGAAAGAGGGGGGGTCGAAGATCTACATGTTGGGGCCCCGTTCTCGTGGCCTCCAAAAAGGAAATGAAAGCTCCGCCGCGCTACGGGTTTTTGCGCCAGCAACACCCTCCTCTCCCCATAAGGGGGCGCACTGCCCGTCGTCGTCGCCGCTGCTGCTACGGTTCGAAACCCGAGGATTCAGGAATTGGAAGTCCCACCAACCCTCTGGCTGTGGGTATTCCAGGGCGCTTCCTCTTACCATCTACCGTGGTTCCCCTGCGGTGAAGCGGTTACCCTTCCTCTACCAATGCTCCCTATCAATAACCCCCCCCATTCGACCGACCGCTAACCCGAGTCAACGTCCCCCCCAGCACCCCTGCAAAAAAACATTCGACATGGAAATCTCCACATGTGCATCTCAGTTCCTGGCGCGTCCGTCTGCGAGAGTCAAGGTGAAAGAATCTTCACATGAGGCGACTTAGCGTTCCCCGTCGCCCCCCCCATCCAGTGTCCACTCGCAGTGTAAACTACATCGGGATGATATTGGGAGTCTGAAAGGAGAGGAGTTGGGAATGCCTAAACCAGCGCTTCTCTGAAGAGGTCCCACGGTCTGGGCGCAAACTGGCAAGTATAACGCACCGTGGTTCTTCCCCCGTGGGGCGCACAAGTGCGCGCACTACATCGCAATGATTATGGGGCCGTGAGCGAAGAGGAATCGGGGGGAACAACAACAGCGAACATCTCAAAGCATCCCCACAAACGTAAGTGCGAAAGGTATGTGCGAAACCCCTTGGCGGTTCCTTGGGGTACCCACGTATTGTGCCTGTTGGACCGACATGATCAAAAGGGCTTTCACACATGAAGAACCGGGGAGAATCGAGCGCCCGGCACCCACGGGGCATTCGCGCACGGCGAGTGAGTCAGAATGACACTGAGTCGGAGCGTCGGCGATTCTGAGTGTGAGCGCGTATGAATGTGAGTGAGCCTTGCTTGATAAGGGGGAGAAGGGGGTGGGAGGTGCGGGGAGGAGGCGGGGTCGTCACATGAAAAACAATAATCCCATCGTCGGAATCAGAGAATACAAACCGCAATGTGCGGCAACATCTGGATCATGTTCGGGCGCCTGGCGATCACTTCACCTTGTTTGTTTTGCAAGGGACAACTGAAGGGCCATGATACCCCGCGCAGGCTGGACCACCATCCCTGTCGGAAGCAAATCCGCCGATCCGGCGTGTGAGTTTCAAGGAGTCTCAGCTACAGCCTCGAGGCTGAGCCTCAGCCTCTGGGGGGGTTGCCGGGGTGGCTCTGCCGGGGAAGGGGGGGTGGGGGGGGGGGTGCGAGTTTCCGGCGGATGCGTTTTTTGACACCCCTCACAAGGATCGTGGCCTCCGAGGGGGGTCCGAACTCGAGTACCACCCCTCCCGCACCAAGAGGCTCCGAGGAGGCCTCCAAGAGGCCCCAAGGGGCGCAGAAGAGGCCCCCAAGAAGCCCCAAGAGGCTCCCAAGAGACCCCCAAGAGGCCCTCTAGTGGCCCCAAGAGGCCCAAGAGGCCCCCAAGAAGCCCCAAGAGGCGCCCAAGAGGCCCCCAGAAGTCCCAGCCAACCACGAGATCCCAACCAGCATCCATGAGGCCTCTGACCCACCACCCACGCACGGTGGCGGGATAGGCCGACGGCCACTGGATCCGCCGCCCCCTGCTTGCAGGGGTGCACGGCGTGCTGGATGTTTCAGGTTTTGGTTTTGGTTCTTTTTCTAAAAGAACTCCCCAGTGGGCTTCGGCCCGTCCCGCCGGCCACCCGTAATTTTCCCAAAATCCGTCTGTCAATGCCTTTGTTGCCCCAACTTGGCCCAAGATGGCCTCCAAGACGGCCAAGATGGCCCAAGATGGCCTCCAAGATGCCTCCCAGACGGCCAAGATGGCCTCCAAGACGGGTAAGATGGCTCCAAGATGCCTCCAAGACGGCCCAAGATGCCCTCCAAGACGGCCAAGATGGCCCCAAGATGCCTCCAAGATGGCCCAAGAGGCCTCCAAGACGTTCTCCAGGAGAGCCCGAAGAGGCCAAAATCATTGGTTTTCCTTAGGTTTTTGAAGGTTGTTTGCGTTTTCTTCTTTTCGGCCTTCCGACGGCCCAAGAGGCCCCCAAGATCGCCCAAGAGGCCTCCAAGAAGGCCCTATGACGGCCCAAGGGCCCCCCAAGACGGCCCCAAGAGCGCCCCAAGACGGCCCAAGAGGCCTCCAAGACGCCCAACATGGCCTCCAAGACGGCCCTGAAGCGCCCCAAGAGGGCCCCAAGACGGCCCAGAGAGGCCCCCAAGACGGCTCCAGACGGCGTCAGACGGACCAGGAACGCCCTAAGACGGCCAAAGAGACCCCCAGGAAGCCCCCAAAGGCCCCCAAGAGGCCCAAGGAGGCCCCCAAGATGCCTCCAAGAGGCCTCGAAGAGGCCCCCAAGAAGCCCCCAACAGACCCCAAGGGTGCCCCAAGAGACTCCTAACAACCCTCATCCTCCTACTCTATTTCTTCCTCTTCCTCTTCCTGTTCATAATCATTCTCTCCCATGTGTTCCCCGAAAGCTTTCCAAACCGACTCGGGGAACTCATGGTCCGATAGCTTGGCCAAGCTCTAGTCCAACTTTCGGCCACATCGGCGTTTCCAAAAAGGCAGGGGGCGGCGGTGATTCGCCGTAGGCGTCTTCGATAAATGCTGAGTGAGAGGAGGGGAGGGAAAAAGAGAGGAGGGACGAGGGCGAAGAAGGATCACATCAGTCGGAGCGCCCCGGATCGGCGGCACTGGCCGAAGGCCACTACAATCAAAGCGCAGGTTGCGGCTAAATGTTAAAAGATGCGCTGGCCCCCCGCGATCAGGCTGCATTGATATTGACAGGGGTACTGGAAGGGGGGGCATGGCACGCGCACCTGGCCGGCGTTCAGTGGTTCCCGATGGTTGTCGATGGCGTGACCCGGGTGTTACATCTGTGGCGGGAGGGCGGATGGAAGAGAGCGACGCGGCCGAACTTCGGGATCGTAGCTCGGTCTCTCATCCTGATTCAGAAACACACCTTACCCCACTCGATCAGACCCTGACCAAGGCCAATGCCGCACCGCCCCCCGCCCTGGACACGGCCCCCTTCCGAAAACACGATTGGGAAAATCACCTTCGGAGCGCCCTCAGCGCGGTCGCAAGGAAGCCGGGCTCGAGCCAAGGCGGATGGCCGGACGCTCGCGTGCGCGCCGGGGCGCGGCCTCTCTGGGAACGGATTGGCACCGCCGTGGCGCCAAGATACTATGGCGCATGGGAAAGCATGCAGTCGAGATGCGTAAAAAATCTGGTGCATCAAAAACAACGGAGGGACGAGGGAGCGCATCCGCGTTGAGTCGCTGTGGGCGCGTGTCGTGGATAGCGACGCCGTCGCCGATGCTTCGCACTCGCATGGCCGCATGGCGGTCGTACATTTGGGGGCAGGAGTCGGAGCCGGAGACGGAGCCCGAGCCAAGGCATCATAATCCAGGATAGCCGACTCAAGCAGCGCGTGCTCCATGAAGGGCAGCAGTCCCATATCATGGAGACGGGCAACCGCATCAGCAAATTCCCGCGTTCCCCTTTGATGGTGCAAATGGCTGAGAGGCATTGGATCAGGGGCCACAAGAATGCCAGACCCGAGCTGGCGAATTCAGAGCTCCTGGCCACCATCGCCACTTCGAGGGCTCGCATCGGACCCAGCCTTGGCACGACAGGGATGTCCTCAAGGCCTGCCTGCGCGACCCAGGCCAATGCCAACGGGATCTCAACAATGTCAGAATGACGCGGAGTAAGTGAAATGTGCGCCGCATCTTCCTGTATTACATCGGTGGTGCACCCCCAGTTCGCCCTGCGACGATCGAGCGCCCATGCATCAGAACCCCCGGGGACGCTGGGAATAACGACGTCAAATCCTTCGGCGCCTCCAGCTCCACCATTGTAAATCACAGCGCGCGGGCGGGGGGAGGGGGGTCACGCCGCGCGCTGCTGCAGCCCCGCGGGGGCGGCAATGTACAAATGCACAAAGCGCTGGAACTTGTGCGCGAGGAACACATTGAAGTCACGCGTGGCAGGCAGGGCAGGCCGCCGCGCGCATGGCCAGAGCCCCCAGACTGATCGGTGCCAGGCAGATCATCGCGGCGGGCAGCAACCGCCATCGAGAACGACAACTCTGGCGACGGTCTGGTAGAACGAGCGCGACTCTGCGACCAAGGACAACCTTCGCCTGACAATATGGATTCCCGAACAGACGTTCTGCTCTGGAATATCCGCGGCGAGCGCCCTCGACCTCGTGCATTCGCCTCGGCAGCCGCGCCGGTCTCCGCCACCCTTGCCGGGGCCCGCCCTTGCCGCGGGAAGAGCAGCCGCCCCGGCTGGAGCCCCAGGGGCGGGGGCCGCAACTGGCTGGGTTCCACCTGCTGGCCGCCCCTCCGTCGCGGGCAGGCGGGCGCGCGGGCCGTTCCCTGCGGGGCTCTCCGCGAATGCCGCCCCAGCACGACGAGCTTCAATCCTTTGCCAAACTCCAGCCTGGATCTGAAATTGACGGGTCACAGCGGGAAGGCCCGCTCGGGAACGCCGGCGGCCGTCAGGGGAGGCGCTTGACCTGGGGCCGATGAGCCCCACGGCTGGCCACCTGCACCACGAGCCACTGCGCCGCCGAGAAGCGCCGCCCCAGGAGCAGCGCCGCGCGTCGCGTCGTCGGCGGCGCGCTCGGGAGCAGCCGCCGCGGTCTTGGCAACCGCCGACGTTTTCTCTTCCGCCCTGATCACACCTTTGACATCAGCACTCGTTTCCGCCTGCTGCTCGAGCGACAGGCTTGTAGCCTCGTTGGGGGACCCCCAGACGCTCAGGGGGCGTTTCTCGAAGAAGAGGGGCGCTTCGTCGTAGACGGGGGCGAAGCCGAACACGGCGTTGTCGGGCCCCCCTTTTTGC